AAGCAATGAAGTGTTCAACAAGGAAGATAAGGAACAAAGTTAAAAAAAGATTTCAAGAAGTACTTAAGATCTTGTCTCCGTCAGGCCTTCGAAATTGCCAGAGTAAACAAAGCTGGAGAGTTTAGACAGCAGCTTTCCAGAGCAAATAAGAGAACGCACTAGAAAAGTTGTTAGAACATTAGTATGTTTATTTTACCACATTTTCTCCTGTAAACTTCATGTTAACACTTGTTCAACACACCACCACCACAGGGTTAAACTACATGCAGGACGTACAATTAATTGGCATTTTCAGTTTCTGCTGCCTATGTGCATGACAGATTTATTCCAGACCTGTACAACAGAATTTATCACGTCAGTGGTCGCTCTCAACAGGCCCACTTTCCATGTCCCTAAATTACTGCAGTTTTCACCATGGGCCATTAAACACATTAAACATCTTCCCATTATCCTTCTCTAGGTCAACAAGTTAATGTATGGTTCAAAAGATTCTCAGTTAACAAATCAGCATCATTTAGACCGCAGACACACAAAATATTTGTGCTCTCAGGCCGCTTATGAAGCTCGCCTAGGAACTTAACGGAGCCGAGATTCACAACGCACTGCCCATCACTACAAACACTTTCATGTTTTGGGGCATTTTAAAGTTTCAAGGGAGCAAAAAGTATTTTCTAAACTTGTACCTTCTTACCTGATTTTTGGGAAGACAGTGCTACAACCAAGGCAGGATCAATCTCACAAGGCAATCCAGCAGCTGACGACAGTTCATATACATTCATTGCCACCTGAAGACCAGAAGTAAGATAACTATGAGGAAGACAACATTAAACGCTTTTGCACAAGCATTATACTATAGCACAGATAAGCTACCATTTTTAAACATTAATCTTAGAGTTTGAGGCACAAAGGAATTTCAGAGACTTGGCAAAAAAAGGATAAAGATCCTTTAGATTTTCCTTGTTTCTAGCCTACAGTGAAGAGCTAAGACAGTACGTTTTGAGCTAGCTAGTTATCATTCCTGTTTATCAGGCCAAACAAAACTTGTGTACTTTTCTAAACTACCTCCCAAGCAAACACTCTGAATTCCTGGATAGCCTTTTGTTTCTACCTATTTACTGTTCAAAAAAAATCCCACACTGGCAGATGTGCTCTGTCAGATCACAAGCGTCAGCTAAGATCTACAAATACAGCATTTTTTGACAAGCAAATGACAGAAGTTGCGATTTCATGAAAATATTACAGTAAGAAGAAATGTAATCTCATAGCAACATTCAGATTTGATACACTTTAACAATGACTCCAAGTACCAAAAACTAGACTGTAAGTGGGCTACTATTTGGAGGAGCTCAGAACACAGGATCTGTTCTCCTAATCCTACACATAACCAGCTAACAAGAAATCTCCATTTTACCAGTGCCTCCCAAAAGTTTAGGCATACTAAGATATCATTTCATGACAAATATTTATCTCATGAACAGCTTTAAAGCTGTTTCATCTTTGCTTTGATAAATAAATTACATAGAAAATCACTGGTATTTAGGTTATTTAGGTAAGACCTAAAATATCAGAATGTCCTGATCTATTGTAAAAAGCTTTGCAAAAATCTGCTGACGTGCCTTCATTTAAGAGGAAGAAAATAAAAAGTCCCTTTGTTGTCCCCAAAGATGACATTGTTACCCATAATCCCAGCCCTTCCCACGGGAAGGCACAGGATAAACCAAGGAGAGGTTCCTGGATGCAAACATAGTGCTGTCCAGAAGCAAGGCAGTGTATTCATGCTGCTATTTTCTCCCCTGCCCCAAACACTTTGGAGGGCAGGACTGTATGAATTTCCTACTGAAGGCCAAAATCAGGCTCACAATTATTACACGCACACATTTCCAGCCATGTCATTTTAGTTTACCAGGTCATACTATAAGCACTGAAGTATTCTTCCCTTTATTGTTTATCTATGTTTTAACACTTTATAAATATGATTCTTGATTCGTTTCTGGAAGTTTTCAAATGTGATCACAGGCAGATAGAGACTTGTGTTTATCCGATCAGCTTTCTTCCAGAATTTAGTGAGTTCACAGAAATGCAATTGTTTAGGTCCTGGGAACAAAGGTTGTTCACACTAAGCATGGCAGTCTTGCCCCTTGCATACTTTTAATAGAATCCAAAGAAAGATTCCATTACCCTTCGGACCCTTACCTTCATATCAGTCTCTCTTGGAATGTGATCCTTAAAGTCTTCGATTGAACTTACAAGGAAAGGAATGTGATAGGATAAAACCTAATGGAGACAAATAAGAAATTAGAAAAACAAAATTTCAATTTCATCCATCAGTTAGATACTAGGGTTATTTTACTAGATTTTTCTATTTTTTCATAAACTATTTTACGCATATGATTAGTTTATTGGTTTAAGACCCAAAAGCTTAATAAGCTCAAGACTGAGCTATTGGTAAATGATGTGGAAGTTTTTAAAATGTATTAAACACTGAAAAGACTGATGGTCATGCTTCAGTGAAAACCTATAGGTTTTAACGTAATACTTCCCTGAAAACTACCCCAGAAGTGCCTTTTTTTTTTT